CCGAGCCTGTCTGGACTTCATTTAACACTCCAGTATGAGAGGTTTAACAAAACAAGTGCCCTAATTTCCTTTACCCTATTATACCTACTCTGCGCCTCCCTGGGAGGGTTCAGTAGGCTTAGGGCTGGAACAAGGGGCGGGGTGGGGGAACGCGAGCTCTCGCTTTGGGTGGGGGAGGTCAGGAGCCTCAGCCGCCCCGGCCCCTCCCTGTTCTTCCCTGAGGGGACAGAGAGGCAGCCGCACCTGCACTCAGGAGGGGCGACACTGGGGTGACCGACAGGGGCGGCAGCGCCCATCCCCCACACCGCGGACCCGCCCAGGAAGCTGGCCTCTGCTGGCCAGGGTGACGGTGGCCTCTGGACTCTGTGCTAGGACAGCAGCCGAGGGGCGGGGCCGGCTGCCCCACTGCGCCTCCCTGGGGCCAGCCTGCCCCCAGCCCTGCGGGTAGAACCTGGTGCTGACGGCCAGGCAACCCCCTCCCACGCACGGCAGGAGCACGGGGGTCTCCACGCGGCGCCCGAGCGTCTGCTCTCACACAGCCGAGCGCTGGCCCTGCGGCTTCCCGTTTTGGTTTCAATGTCACCGTTTTCCGTGAGGAAAAAAAGACAATGCAGTGAGACTCAGGAAGACTTTCCACAGGCGCTCATCACGGGGTCAGCACTCGGCCACGCCCTCCGCCCTCAGAGCCCCGGCCCCACGGCGCGGCTCCACCCCGAGGGACAGGCTCAGCCGGGCAGCACCCACACGCCCACCCTCCTCGGCCGATTCTCGCCCACGGCCGCTGGAAACGCCCGTTCTGTCCTGCACCCGCACGGCACCGCACCACGCTCTTCCACACACAGCACACGCATGGCACCCGCACCACGCTCTTCCACACACAGCACACGCATGGCACTTGCACCACGCTCTTCCACACGCGGCACAGGCATGGCACGCGCACCACGCTTCTCCACACGTGGCACACGCATGGCACCCGCACCACGCTTCTCCACACGTGGCACACGCATGGCACCCGCACCATACCCCTGTACAGCACACACATCACACACATCACAGGCCAATCCAGCTGCGAGTTTGCTGTGTGGGGACCCCCTTCAGGGCTGGCTGCTCTGCGTGCCGGCCGTGGCCACCGCTGGGACCCAGGCTCCGTCCCGACACACGTGCACAGAACGGCAGAGGGGTGCCCGCGCCCACACAGGGTTCTCATCGGTGTTCGGTTAAGAATTCCAAGTGCTTCCGAGGCAAACGCTGTCCATCCTCCTGCACACAGAGCCTCCTCCCTCCACAACTTCACCCGCCGTGGAACAACCTCAACACACCAGCCGCACGAGCCGCGGGACCCCTCCCTGTGCGTGGACGTCCTCCCAGGTCAGGGCCAACGGCACCCACCCAGGCCTCGCGTGTCAAATCAGGGAGTGGGTATTTCCACAATCGCTGGGATACAGAGCATATGCACTCAGAACGAGCGTGTGCACACACACACACGGCAAGAACGAGCGTGTGCACACACACACACAGGGCAAGAACGAGCGTGTGCACACACAGGGCAAGAACGAGCGTGTGCACACACACACCACACACACATGGCAATCAGAACAAGCGTGTACACACACACACACGGCAATCAGAACGAGCGTGTGCACACACAGGGCAAGAACGAGCGTGTGCACACACACACCACACACACATGGCAATCAGAACAAGCGTGTACACACACACACACGGCAATCAGAACGAGCGTGTGCACACACACACATGGCAATCAGAACGAGCGTGTGCACACACACACGGCAATCAGAACGAGCGTGTGCACACACACACACGGCAATCAGAACGAGCGTGTGCACACACACACACGGCAATCAGAACGAGCGTGTGCACACACACACAGAGCAAGTGCACTGGCGTGTTGGGAGAGTGATGCTGGCCACACACAGCCCCGGGGCCGCCCGGCTTGAGCTCAGACACGCGTGTCCTGGAGATCACTAACGAGCGTGTCCTGGAGATCACTAACGAGTCCGCAGCTCGTGCGCGCCCCGCGCGTCCTCTCCGTGAGCAGCCGGCAGCCCTGGCTAGGTGAGCAGCTTCTTGTAGACGCTGTGGGCCAGGTGGCTGGAGCAGGTGTCCCCTTTGCTGGGCACCAGCTGCCCGCTGCTGTTGTAGCTGGCGCCGTCGGCGCTCTCTCTGCAGCACAGCAGGGCGCGCAGCTGCCGCTGGCACTCGGACGACGCGTAGTAGTAGACCAGCGGGTCCAGGCAGCAGCTCACGCTGCTCACGCACACGCACAGCAGGTAGGCGAAGTAGGCGGCCTCGGAGGCGGGCTCGCGGGACAGGGAGGCGTAGTGCGCCACCAGGAGCACGTTGGTGGGTCCGAAGCAGAGCAGGAAGATGCAGAAGACGGCGGCGGACAGCAGCAGCGCCCGGGACTTCCTGCCGCGGTTGGCCACGGCGGAGGAGCCGAGGCAGCGGATGATGGACACGTAGCAGGCGGTGGACACGAGCAGCGGCACGAAGAAGAAGACGGCCGAGAAGGCGGAGAAGTAGTGGGCGTAGAAGCCCTCGAGCAGCCCCTGGCTGAGCACGTCGTGGCACGTGGTGACGTTGAGCCCGGGGACCCAGACCGCCTGCTCCCGCAGGAGCAGCGGCACCACGCCGGCCAGGGCCGTGGCCCAGATGGCCAGGCAGGCGAAGGAGGCCCTGCCCAGCGTGCGCCAGGCCAGGGACCGCATGGGGTAGAGCACGGCCAGGAAGCGGTCCACGCTGATGGCCGTCATGAGCAGGACGGAGGCGTACATGTTGCAGTAGAAGGCCGCGGTGACGAGGCGGCACGTCCCCGAGCCGAACCGCCAGTCGCTGCCGGAGAAGTAGTAGCTGATCTTGAAGGGCAGCACGGCCGCGAACAGCACGTCGGCCGTGGCCAGGTGCAGCATGTACACCACGGCCGGCTTCTTGACCTTCATCCGCAGGAGGAACACGGCTATGGCCATGACGTTCAGGGGCAGGCTGACCACGAGGACGCCCGTGTAGACCGCGGGGATGAACAGCCTCAGCCAGGGGCCGCTCAGGTACCCGGCGGCCTCTGGGGAGATGGACACGGTCGGCGGCGGCGGCGGGCGGCTGTGGTTGGCGGGGCGCAGCCTGGCTTCAGCCAGCGCGCTCGCGTTCTGCTCCTGGTCCTCGTCGATGGGGAACGGCTCGAACCCGTGGTCGGACTCCCTGAGAAAGAAGGTCCGGGGACCCACGGTGTGGTTGGTTGCGCCGAATCCTGGAAAACGGAATTTAGAAGGTGAATGATTTCAAAGGGAAAAGAGGGGCCGGCGCTGTGCAGCGGGTGAAGCCACTGCCTATGCCGCCGGCATCCCAGATGAGCCCTGGGTCGGGTCCCGGCTGCTCCATTTCTGATCCAGCTCCCTGCCCATGCCCCTGGGAAAGCAGCCGGGGACGGACCAAGTGCTTGGGCCCCTGCCTGCCACGGGAGACCCGAGAGAAGCTCCTGGCTTCATCGGGCCCAGCCCCGGCCGGGCGGCCACGTGGGGAGCGACCCAGCGGGTGGAAGGGCTCGCTCTCATCTACCCAGGCTTCCCTGAGCCCGCCGGGGTGTTGAGGGGCTCCTGCAGTTCTGGGGCTGCAGGCACACTCAGAGCAGGGCGCGGGGCTCCCAGGCCAGCAGCACCGGCCCCTGCACTCGTTTGATTACACAGCAGCTGTCCCAAGTGCCTCGCCACCTCTGGGTCCAAACCTCCATCCAACAGAGCCACAAGGTGCCGCCACCTCCGCCCCCCGCCTCCCCAGCTCTGTCCTAGCGACGAGTGCCTCCAGGCCACCCCGGGCCACCTGGGCTCTCTGGCGATTCACCAGACGTGGACAGAAGGCGCGTTCCTCCCTCGTCACCCTCCTCCCCTGCGAGGGCTCACGGGGAATAGCGGGCAGACGAGCGGCTGGGAGACACTGCCCCAGGGCACAGGGACGGGGTCTCTGCTGGGCCCTGGGTGCCGGGGGTGGGAAGCAGCTCCGGCGATGCTGGCCCCTCTCCTGCTGCAGGAGGCTGGACAGGAGCCGTGGACCTCACACCTCCGCCAGGGTCTGCAGCAGTGGAGCTGTGCCCAGGGGTGTCCAGGAGGGCGGAGGGCAGCAGCGCAGAGTGGGCAGCAGGGAGGCCCTCCCACATCCAGACCTCCGATGCAAGGAAGCCTCTGGACGCGCCTGCAGGGTCTGGGCTTGAGGCGGCGGGAGGGGAGGCTGGAGGAGGGGCGGTCTGGAGCCAGGGACGGGGTTCCTGTCTCAGCGCCCTGGCCTGGTCCTGTGACCGCATGGGGTCTCGCCCCACTTCCTGTCCTGAAGTTCAGAGTGCTGTGTCCCGTGTGCAATGGTGGCAGCTGCTCTCCGGGGCAGGGTGGGCAGAGCGCCCCTCCCACCCCAACCTCTGGGCAGGGGACAGGGGCTGCAGGCTGGCTCCAAACCCCAAAGGACCCGTGTCCACACAAACAGCAGCCGGCTCCTGGGGGTGGCCCCAGAGCGGGGATGGAAGTGCCGGCCCCACCCCACGCTCCATGTGTGCCATGCCCCACACCAGGTCCCACGTGCGCCCTGCCCCACGCCGGTCACCGCGTCCACGCCGGTCACCGCGTCCTTCCAATGCCCTAACAAACAGGCACGCACATGAGCAGCTTCCCTGGAGCGCTGTGAGCAGCTGGGGGTGGGGGGTGGGGGGGACGTGCCAGCTGCAGAGGTGCAGGCTCACAGCAGGCAGTGGGGGGGACGCCCCCAGCCGTGCACGCTGACTCGGCCCCAGGGGAGGGTGTCCCCAGCCTTACACGCTGACTTGGGGGGGCGTCCTCAGCCTTACATGACTCGGCCCCAGGGGGAGGGCGCCCCCAGCTGAGCATGCACACTGACTCGGCCCCAGGCAGGGTGCACGAGCCTTCAGCAGGGAGACCCCATCTGAAGCTGCCTCGGGGAGACGGTGCCTGGCCAAGGGCGGGCAGCCCACACACACCTGCACCAGCCGCACAGGGTCTCAGCGGAGGCCCAGAGGCAAAACCGTGGTTCCTATGGCCTGCAACAGCGTGCAACCCCAGGCACCGCACAGCACGCTGGGATCCCAGGGGCGGAATGGCCAGAGGGAGCCCCGAGTCCCGGCCTCAATCACAGGGGTTTCAGAGAGGCACACGGGGTGGGAACCGCGAGGCACCGCCTACTCCGGCTGGGTTCCCCCAGGAACAGGGGCGGAGTCGGCTCCTCTGCGGTCACACTCCATAAACAAAGTCCCATGTCACGCACTCACACTCTCTCGGACATGGTGGGACCTGGGCGCCACACTCCGATGTCCCGATGCCCAGGACACAGGTCGCAGAGCACCCAGCCCAGAGACTCGGAGCTGCAGATCCGTTTCAGCGTTGCCCGAGGGTCGCTTCCTTCCCTTGAAGACACACCCTCCACACCCATCTTGAGTCCGCCGGCACCTCCCTGGTGCCTCAGCCAGCACAGTGAGCATGGGAGCCGAGAGGGAGGCCTGGCCACCACAGCACAGCCCCGCTCGGCCGACCTGTGCCGACGTCACACCCTGGAAACCCAGCGTCACAGCCCCGGGCCAGGAAGAACACAAACCCCCTGGTCGAATGTCACCGCCGAAGGCGTTACCCTTCCTCCCATCAGGGCTTGATATTCTGGTTTTTGTGAAATTAAAGAACGTCAGAAAAAAAAAAAAAAAAAAAAAAAACACCACACAGCAGCACCAAAGAAGGCTGCAAGCAAGCAAGGCGACTAGAACCGCCCCCAGCTGGCCTCTCGGGCTGAGGTTTCCGTGGGAGTTGCTGCCCTCCCCCCCCGGCTCAGGGGTCAAGGGCTGCGGTCAGGGGCCCGTGCCCAGTGAGTCACTGTGCTTTGGCTGTTACTCTGCAGAAAGAGCAGTGCGGGTCCTCAAGTCAGCCGACCTGCCCTGCTGCAGCCTCCCGGCTTCTCCAAGCACCTCGGGGCCACGGGACTGGACGACCACACGGGGCCCCGGGACTGGACGACACGGGGCTGCGGGACTGGACGACCACAGGGCGCCCTCTCGGGCCATGCCTCTCCCGCCTGACCCTGGGAGCGAGTCCACGGCGGCCTCCCCCAGCCGCCAGCCGGCAGGACTCCGTGCTGCCCTGTGTGGCTCAAGCTGGGGGAATGAGCAGAGGCCCAGGGCCAGGCCCAGGTTCCCACAAAGGTTCCCAGGTTCCCAGCAAAGCGCACAGGACCCAGGGGTGCAGCCACGTCTTCAACAGCAGCAGAGCTAGGGTTCAACTTGAACGAGAGCAGACAGCTCCTCTCCAGGTCTCCCCCACGGCGCAGGGTGCATGAGCAGGGGGCTGGGTCGGCAGTGGAGCCGGGACTCGAGCCCAGACGCTGCAGTGTGGGACGTGGGAGGGCCCCGTCCCCTAGTGACTTCAGGTCATGCCGTTCGAGAGAGGGTCAGGTTCAAGAGCAGCGAGTGGACGAGCAGCACCGCAGGGGCACAGAGGGTCACGCTGGCCGCAGGGTCACAGGAGGCCGCCGGGCCGCGCTGTGGCGCAGGGGGCGGGGCCTCTGCCTGCCGGGGTCCGGCTGCGGGCTGCCAGTCCTGGCTGCTCTGACCTGACCCCACTCCTGCTAACGCCGAGAAGCCCGCAGTGACGGCTCCAGCAGCCGCAGACCAGGATGGCGCTCCTGGATCTCGGCTTTGGCCTGGCTCAGCCCTGGCTGCTGCGGCCAGCAGATGGAAGATCTCTCTCTCTCTCTCTCTCTGTCTTATCAGTCTCTGTCTCTCTCTGCCTGTTTCTTACGAGACGCCAGGCAGAACCGAAGCTCGATGCTCAGTGCAGGGGGTCGGCTGCCTCCCGGGAACCTCCGTTCCCACAGGTCCCACGCTGGGCCCCGCACCCCTCCCTGTCCTGCTGCGGCCCCCGACCCGAGCGACCCACCAGGAGCAGCCCTGGGGCGGCTTCCTCCCAAAGCCGGGAGCCGGGGTTCTGCTGCCGCGGCACGGCTGTGAACCCCGGGGGCGACTTGGCAGGGGTTATGGAATCAGCTACAGCGACAGCAGGAACGCAGACGGTGTAGGATGTTCCGGGAGAGCACGCAGGGCAACTCCTGGGTGAGGGCCGTGGTGCCCTTGCTACCTGCGCAGCAACTCCACGGCTTCCAGTTCTCACTCGTGGTTTGCACAAGGGAAAACCGAAAACCGCCTCGGGACCCCAGCGCCGGGTCTCCAGCCTGTCACTGAACCAGGGGTCGCGGCACACGCCTCCTAAAGTTACAGACGCATCGTCATGAAAGTGACAGGAACCTCGCTCACTTCTCAGGGAGCTCCTTCTGCAGCACCCGCAGACGCCGCCTCGTCACCCGGCTCAGGGGGTCTCCGGGTCACGGGGTGGGGCGGGAGGGGGCCCAGCCGAGTTCACCCCAGAAAGAGCACGGCCACAGCGCCAGGTCTCCACTGCAGGGCTGCAGGTGGGAGTGAGTGGGAGACAGGCAGCGGGGAAGAAGCCACAAAGCAGGAGCAGGTGGGAAACGCCGCGTTGAACCTCAGCGGCACAGCCATGCATGCACCAGGGACCAGATCCCGGGGGGTTCTCCCGGTCACCCCCCAGAGTGACAGGCAGAGGCACCCCGCACACGCAGAGCAGAATGGGCGGTGCCAGGGCGCCCCAGGAAAGCTGAGGAACCAGCTCTCAGCAGGGCACTCCTGGGCGGGGCTAGCCAGTGGGCACCGGCACTCGGGACTGCCGGACAGAACCTGGCGTCTGCTCCGAGCCGAGCCCAGCTTTCAGAACCGGCAGGAGGAACCGAGTCCCCGCCTTAACCAGGCGATTCCAGAGGGAGCGATGAGATGCGGGTGGCGGTGAGTCCCAGCCGGCGCCAGGCTGGAGAGAGCAGATGGCCGGCCACTTTGCCCTCAGCCTCCCTCCTGCCGCCCCCACCCCTCACTCCCTGCGAGGCTCCAGGCTCCGCGGACGCCGGCCAGTCCCTTTCTGCGCTGTCCGTCTCACGGAAGGAAGCAGGGGACGTGGCAGGACCCGGTCAGGGGCCCCGATCTTGCCCACCGCGTCTCCACCAGCCTGCGGGCTCCCCGACGGCCGCGCCGGGCTGCGGTCCTGGGACGCCCCAAAGGCCAAGTGCACACGGCGAGAGTGGGGCGCCCCCCACCCACGTCGTCCCCACCCGACCCGGGCCCCGACGGCTCCCGCGTCTGTCACAGCGCGCGGGCGTGACCGGCTGGACGCCCTGCCCGCAGCTCCGGAGCGCGGCCGAGCAAGCCGTCTGCCCTATTGACCTGGGCAGGCGGCCTGACCGGCGGGCGAGGCGTTCCAGCTGCGGGACGCCCCTGCCCCACCCTGCGCCCCCCCCCCCCAGCCACGTCCGCGGGCACCGCGCGCAGGGCTCCGGCCTCAGCCACGCGCCGGGGGCTTCCGGGGCGCACTGCGGCCCCGGGGACCGGCCGGGCACCCTCGGGGCTGGACTCAGGGTCCGACCCGCTCCCGCCGCTCACCTGGGTCGCGGTGTGGGGCGCGGGCGCTCAGCAGAGGCCAGCACAGGCTGAGGCCGGCGGCGACCAGCAGCAGCCGCCGCGGCCCCATTGTCCCGAGTCGCGGCCGCTCTCCCGGGTCTGCGGGCGCGCGGGCACTGGCGGAGCTGGAGGGGCGGAGCCGGGGGCGGGCGCGGGGCCCAGCGGGCGGGGGAGACGCTGGGGGCGGGGCCTGGGGCGGGGCTACCGCGGGCGCACGGGCGGGGGTCCAGGGAGCCGCGGGGGGCGCACTCCTCTGCCTCCGCGCGGCGCGCGCCTGCCGCTCGCCCTGGGTCGCCACCCACCGAGACCGGCCGCTGCCTCCGGACCCAACCCCCGGCCCGCTCCGGCGCCCTTGACGCGCGCGGCCCTGGGGACCCAGACCGCGGGTTGCTGGCGCAGACGCGGCTCCGGTTCCGCAGCAGCGCCGTGTGTGCAGGGCTGCACGCGGCGAAGTGGACACGGTGCTCCCGAGCGTGCCGCCCGTCGGCTCATCTATTGTTCTATTGGTTATGGTGTTTCAACAATTCCTTCTTATTGATTTTAATTTTATTAGAAAGGCAGAGAGCGTGAGAGCGTCCATCTGCTGGTTCAGTCCCCAAATGGCCACCATAGCAGGGCTGGGCCAGAGAGAAGCCAGGAGCCAGGAGTTTCTTCCAGGTCTCCCGCGTGGGCACAGGAGCCCAAGGCCGTGGGCCATCTTCTACTGCCTTCCCAGCCCATAGCAGAGAGCTGGATGGGAAGTGGAGCAGCCAGGACTCGAACTGGCGCCCATGTGCGATGCGGCACTGCAAGCGGTGGCTTTACCCGCTACACCACAGCGCCGCCCCTCACACGGGTTGGCTACTTTCTTTAGTGTCACTCTTTAATCTTCTAACGTGAAGTGATGTGCACCCTGCTTGTCCACCGCAGCCACATTGTGCAGATTTTTAGACGCATACGGATGTAAGTTGGGCCTAAAGTTTGGTCAAGTTCATTAAGCCGTCGATCCATGGACTACTGGCAGGTTCCGAGAGGCATTTTCCCAGCACTTTCTGGCCCCGTGTGTGGTCTGTGGGTGACGCCTTCTCCTTCCCGTTCTGTCCCCATACTAGGAAGCCCCGGGGAGCCCGCGTGCTCTTGGGGGCCCGTGGGGGAACTGTGGTGTCTCCAGTGGCTCTGCCGCCATGCCAGCCCCCCGGGCCGCGCCTCGGCAGCAGCACTCCCCCAGGTGGAGCTGGGACCAGGGCGCTCGCTCGCTCCGCAGCTGTGTGCTGGGAAGAGCAGAACAGGCGGCGTTTAACTCCGCGTTCCGAGAACTGAAGTCCCCTGGGTTCCTGGGAGGGCAGCGTCCTGCGGGAGCCCGGTGCCGCTCATTGTGCTCGCTGGCTCTGCTCTGTGTCGCCGTCACCCAGGAGTGCGGGCCCCCGGGTGCCTGCTGCTGGCGGAGTTTGCACACAAACACGACAACGTCCTGAGCCGAGAGCTAACCCCAGGTGAGAGGAGGCAGTTCCCTCTGGCCGGTAAGTGGTCCCTGCGCCCCTGCCCAAGGCTCCCCAGAGTGTGCCCGCAGAACCTGTCCCTTCCGGCTGCAGACAGCGTGCTGAGACCGCAGCTCACACGAGGACAGCGGGTTCTCCTGGACGCAGGCGTGAGCTCCTCCACGCCAGCACAGACAGCACCGCAGTGGGCGGCCGTGCAGTGGCCCGCTGACCACCAGCAGGCCTGTCCCCGGCCTGTGCTGCACAAACCTGGACCGGCGTTCTGGACTCGGAAGTCAAGTTTGTCTCTCTGTTCCACCTGTCGTGCAATGGACAGACTCAGAGGCCACCCCTGGCGTGTGGGGTGCCCAGCAAGGCCATGCTCAGTGTCTGTGAAGAAAACGAAACTCCAAAACTTCCGTCCCCGCTGCGTGCGATGAGCCGGCACCTCCGACGGACACATGCCAGCTGGGAGCTGCTGGCTGCTCATACGGTCACAGCGAGGCCGCACTGAGGGTCTCTCAGTGCTAGGACGTTCACACAGCGCTGCCGAGGACCGATGACCTCCTCCTGCGCCCGCCCCCTGCCAGAGGCCACGGCCAGGCCCTGGGCTCAGAGCTCCAGGAACCCAGCTCTGGGCCCTGGAGCACAGACGGCTGCTTTAATGGAGTCCTGAGTTTAGCTGAGCGAGACACACAGTCGGCTGAGGCACGGCCAGCCTGCTCCATCCGCCTGCTCCCATGGCCAAAGTCCTACACGTTACGTCATGAATCACGCCTCTTGTCATGCCCACACGCATGGCAGCCCCCAGGCCCCACCCCCACACGCATGGCGGCTACCAGGACGTAGCCCGCTGACTTGGACTCCCAGATTGCTCAGCGGGTTAAAAGCAAATACATAAGTGAACCCCTCACCCCGTGGTGAGACAGCCCAGAGCTCAGTGGGTGGGGCGGGGTCGGGGGGTCGGATGGCTGCCTCCTAGGAGTGCTGGGGCCGGGGCTCCCCGGCTGTCTGCTCTACCCGAGCTGATGTCGGTCAGCTTTTCCCTTCTACAGCCCAACACCCAAGAGCCCCTCAGGAAGGCAGCGGGTATACCCAGCTCCTGGATCCCGCAGCTCCCGGGCCATGGCTGGGTGACCCTGTTGGTCTGGGTGTGACCAGGGTGTGGACGCTGTGTGCAGAGGGCCACGTGGGGAGCCAGGACACAGAACCTCAGGCCCACCCAGGCCTGGACAACCAGCCTGCCCACGAGCACTGCTCCCAACCAGCCACCTAAGGACCCCCCCGCCCCGCCGCCACCCCCCACTGGCCCACCTCCCAGACAACACGAGTGGGTCAGACCTGATCCGTGCCATCAACCAGTGCTCCTGGGACCAAGTGGGAAGCAAGTCCTGCTGTGACCACGGGGCCCCGACACCTGCTGTCCTGTCACTGGCCTCCCCTGGGTCACCCACTGACCCTGCCCGGCAGAGCTCACACAGCCACGGCTCACGCAGCCATGGCGGTCTTCGGTCTTCGGAAGCGGCCGCAGATGGCGAGCCGGCAGGCAGGGGGCCCTGGCAGGACGCCGCAGCTCTGGCCACACCCGGCCCTCTACATCCCCACCGAGGCTTCCTGGGGCTGGGGGCTGCGAGTGAGCCTCAGCCCCCCCACTACCATGCACCTGCTCTGTCCCCACTTCCCAACGCCAGCCGCCTAGCGGGCGAGCCTCCTCCCCCAGGCCAAGCTTCCCTGTGTCTGACGACTCCTGCAGAAGCCAGGCCAGCGCACACACATGACAACGGAGAACACGCGTCACCCACTCACCGAAGCAGCAGGCTCACTCCCCGCACCTGGAAGCCGGGGCAGGAATGGGCGCGTGTCAGGCACCGCCCTGGGGAAGTGCTCAGCGGACCCCTCCCGGGACCACCCTCCCTTTCACAGGACACGGGGCTGCCGGTCAGGGTGGCTGCCCCCAGCACAACCCGCGCTGGTGTCAGTCCCTGTGTGATGTCACGGAGAGGCGGGGGCAGCGGCAGCCTCACCTGGCTGCGGCCAAGGGCTGGGTACGCGGCGGGGGAGGGAGCTGCCGTAATCAAGCTCCACGGCGCGTGTCTCTTCCTCTCGCACCAGGTGCCGTGTGTCGGGGGCCTCACAGTGCCGGGCAGATGCTCTGCTCCTGTGCCTGGGCCGCGGCTGAACCCGGGTTCTCACAGCCGCCCTGTGGGTTGTCACGGAACGTACCAGGGCAGGACTCGGTCCATGCAGCCAGCCGGGAGCCTGCGGCGACAGCCAGGCCCACGGGATGCCAGCGGGAGGCACCTGTGTACCCCGCCTGCCCCGGCCTGTCCTCCCTTCCAGCCGACTGGCCAGCCTGATCCCGGATGACCCCAGGGACCTCTCAGAAAAACCCATTCTGTCCTGTTCAGCACTGGGCTTCCAGTCTCTTCCTCACAGCAGCTTATTCTGCGCCCTAACTAGTACAGCGCCCAGGGTAACTAGTACAGCACCCGGGGTAAGTGGTAAAGTGCCTGGGGCAACTAGTACAGTGCCTGGGATAACTAGTACAGCACCCAGGGTAAGTGGTAAAGTGCCTGGGGTAACTAGTACAGCGCCTGGGGTAACTAGTATAGCACCCGGGTTAAGTGGTAAAGTGCCTGGGGTAACTAGTACAGCACCTGGGAAAACTAGTACAGCACCCGGGGTAACTAGTACAGCACTGGGGTAAGTGGTAAAGTGCCTGGGACAACTAGTACAGCGCCTGGGGTAACTGGTACAGCACCCGGGATACTGGTAAAGCACCCAGGGTAACTGGCACAGTACCTGGGGTAACTAGTACAGCACCCGGGGTAACTAGTACAGTGACTAGGGTCATTAGTACAGCACCCAGGGTACCTAGTGCAGTGACTGGGGTAACTAGCACTAGGGGGACTAGTGCAGTGACTGGGATAACTAGCACTAGGGTACCTACTGCAGTGACTGTGGTAACTAGCACTAGGGTGACTAGTGCAGTGACTGGGGTACCTACTGCAGTGACTGTGGTAACTAGCACTAGGGTGACTAGTGCAGTGACTGGGGTAACTAGCACTAGGGTACCTAGTGCAGTGACTGGGGTAACTAGCACTAGGGTGACTAGTGCAGTGACTGAGATAACTAGTGTAGCATCTAGAGTAACTAGTATAGCACCCAGGGTACCTAGTGCAGTGACTGGGGTAACTAGTATTAGGGTACCTAGTGCAGTGACTGGGGTAACTAGTATTAGGGTGACTAGTGCAGTGACTGGGGTAACTAGCACTAGGGTGACTAGTGCAGTGACTGGGGTGACTAGTACAGTGACTGAGATAACTAGCACTAGGGTGACTAGTGCAGTGACTGGGGTGACTAGCACTAGGGTGACTAGTGCAGTGACTGGGGTGACTAGCACTAGGGTGACTAGTGCAGTGACTGGGGTAACTAGCACTAGGGTGACTAGTGCAGTGACTGAGATAACTAGCACTAGGGTGACTAGTACAGTGACTGAGATAACTAGCACTAGGGTGACTAGTGCAGTGACTGGGGTGACTAGCACTAGGGTGACTAGTGCAGTGACTGGGGTAACTAGCACTAGGGTGACTAGTGCAGTGACTGAGATAACTAGCACTAGGGTGACTAGTGCAGTGACTGGGGTGACTAGCACTAGGTGACTAGTGCAGTGACTGGGGTAACTAGCACTAGGGTACCTAGTGCAGTGACTGGGGTGACCAGCACTAGGTGACCAGTGCAGTGACCGGGTACCGGGCACAGCGACAGGACAACCAGCACAGTGCCCGGGCAGTGTCTGCCTGCTCTGCCCCATCAGGAATCTTGTGCCCATGAAATGATTTGGGTTTAAGATAAAAGCCAAATCCATGTCATCAAGCAATGTTTATTTTACGTAAAACAATTTGCAGAGAATACACTTTGGAGCCATCTAGACACCGATTTCATAGCGTCACAGCTGAAGTGCTGAGCTGAGCTGTGGGGGCGGGGCGGGGCCGGGCGCACGGCAGGGGTCGTCCCGGGCCCTGGCCCGCCCAGTAGTGCTTTCCCCTCCAGGAACGGACCGCGTACAGCGCAGGCTTCAGCACGGACAGGGGACAGGGTGATCGTCACCTTCAATCACTCGGGAAACCCCATTTTGAATTGCACAAAATTTCTCTTTAAAATCAGTAATTCCCAGAAGACAGGGCTTAGAACTGTCTAATAATTCATTCAAATCATCAGGTTTCTATTTCCCCACGGCTGAGAAAAACAAGAAATCCAGGAAGCGTCCCGGGGCTCAGGAGGGCGCTCGGACCGCTCACAGCGCCGGGTGACACGGGGCCCGGTCAGCGCATCTCCTGCTGACAGCAGCCACGGTGTCGCCACGGCACCGCCGGCGCCCCACACCCACCAGCTCCACGTCTCACTCCAGCGTGGCACGGATTTGGCAAGAAGGCACATGGGTACGTTTTCCAGGACAGTTTTGGTCTTTGAAAAAAAAAAATCACACGTTTCTAAGCAGTGATTTTGATCGTGTTTAAAAAAAATACTCAACGCATCCCTTCCGCGGTGAGGCCCGGTGCGAGGCGCGGCCGCCTCACTTCCCGTAGAACTTCTTGTTGAGCAGGTAGATGAGCAGGTTCACGTTCACCTTGACCTTGTCGAACATCTTCATCACGGCCACGCCCTCATACTGCATCTCGAGCAGGTCCTGGAAGGGAGGGGAGCAGCGTCCACACAGGCCGCGGTGAGCACGGGGCGCGGAGCCGCCCGTCACCCGCACGGCGTCTCCAGCTTCTCCGTGCGTGAGGACACGGCGCCGGGCGGGCACAGCCGCGGGAACCGCTGCGGAGGCGCCTGCAGCAGGGCAGAGCCAGGACGACCTCACACCGGCCGGCTGTGACGGCCCCGGGAGCCTCACCTGCCATGGGGCGGGGGCGGGGGCGGGGGGGGGCTGGCAGAGCTCGCCGGACGCTGGGCCTGAATGCTAGACGCACACGCCTGCCACACAAGCCACACATCCTGCTGGGCGGGTGTGAGAGCCCCAGGAGGTGTGCGTCAGCCTCGGACACAGGACACCATGCTGGCCTGCAGGACACAGAATTCTCCACCGGGCACGACGCGGCCCTAGCGCTTTCTTCAGGTAGGAAGAGGACCAGGTAGGCAGGACCTGGAAGCACGGGACCCCCTCAGGCTCCCCACCCGTCTCCCACGGAAGTCCGGGCCGTCGTCCTCCTGGCTAACCGACCAGTCCGCGTGGAGGCACATGCTGCCTGGACACAGCCATCTGGCCTCTCTGAGGCTCCGGCTGCCAGCGACCCGGGGCCACGCTCAGAGGAGCCCTGCACGGTTTCAGGCTTTCAGATTCTTGTCCCAAAATCTGTAACAATTTTGAGGAGGGGCCCTACATTTGTATCTTGCGTGGTGCCTGCGAATCACAGAGCCCCCGGGGGTCCGTGGCCATCTGCCAACAGTCAGCTGTCATGGGAACAGATGGTGTTGTGTGAGTGGGTGACGGCAGGGGCCTCGGGTCTAAGCAGCCCGGACGGTGTCTGCCGGGGCCCAGCCGCCCCTGAGGGGTGTCCTGCAGGGTGTCTCACCCCCACAGCGACAGGAAGCACGGAGGACCCCCGCCAGCTGCCCTGTGTAGTCCCCCAAGGGCAGAAGGCAGCACGTGACTTCAGTATCCTCGGCGTGGCCACGGCCGCACTGTGTCTCAGCTTCCTCTCTGCACCCTATCTCTGCACCCTATCTCCGTGCCGTTATCAGGGCCTTTTCGGCCTGGTTTTCTGGCCTGAGCTTTCCCGGGCTGCTGGACAGAGAGGAAGGGCCCTGGCCTGCGTGGGCGGGTGGGGGAGGCAGGAGGCCAGGGCTGACGTCACTGCCCGGGCTCAGCGAAGTGACTGGTGTAGACACTGCACAACTGCAGCCCCTTCTTTAACCTGAGGGGGCTACGAACAGCCGCTGGGTGGGCTCTGGCTGCACCTCCCCCAGCTTGTTTCTGCACAGCGACTGGAGTTCCCGGGGCGGCCGTCCCCAGCCGTCCTGTGGGAGGACGGAGGGTTCACACGGCAGAGCCGCCGCTCTTTTCCTAAACATCTGCTTTGCATAAGCTCTTTGGTTCTTCTGAACCCAACCGTGGAAAAAAGTGGGTTTAAGAAACTCTTACAAAATTCCCTTGCTCTCACAGGAAAACTGACCACTCCCTTTTGCCGTCTGAAAGCATTTTACCCCCCCACTCCACCCCGGTCACTGTCAGTCGCAGCCTTAAAAACCTCGCGTGCTCCGCAGTGGAGTTCCGGCATTGGAGGCTCGTGTAGGCCTCTGCGAAGCTGGCGCCAGGGCCGGCACCGTGGGCGCCAGGGCCGGCACCGTGGGCGGCAGGAATGGCACCGTGGGTGCCAGGGCCGGCACCGTGGGCACCAGGGCCGGCACTGTGGGTGGCAGGGATGGCACCGTGGGCGCCAGGGATGGCACCGTGGGTGGCAGGAATGGCACCGAGGGTGCCAGGGCCGGCACTGTGGGTGGCAGGGATGGCACCGTGGGCACCAGGGCCGGCACCGTGGGCACCAGGGACGGCACTGTGGGCACCA